GTCAATCTGAGACAGGATATTTCTAATTTCAGAGATACTGATCAGATGACAGAAAACAGTGATGATCCGCTCTGTTCTGCAGCTCCTCAAAGCCCCCCTCATTCCGGAGCAGCTCGAGAGCAGGGAGTCTAGAAAGGTTCTGATGCTAACAACGATAAGCTGAGATCAGCTGCTGATACGCTGTAGCCCTCTGTGGTTTTAAAGAATATCAGAGTTTGAACTGTCATGTATGATATATGTAATGTTCTTACACATGTGCACACAAACTATACACACACCCACACTCACTATCGTTTTAACGACCCGTGTTCTCACTTATCTGTGACGTGCTGACTTAACGGTTTAATTAAGATGCAGCTTTTAGAGCATCAGCTGCTGCAGGCGGAGCGCGTCCTCTGATCACATGCACATCGACACCATCAGCTGTCTGCCTCGCCCACTCTTTCATTTCGCTCTCCACTGACAGCCTTCATCAGCCTCGAGGGACTGAGCTGTCACCAAATGAGACACACTCACAGGTGTTTGTGCACAGCCACGCTCTGACTCACTCGCAGCAGCCACCCGCTTGTCATAGCAGCCATCACACAGCTCCGTATTTGCTGCTCCCTCGCTCCTGCACAAGAACACTCAGAGATTCACACAGTTTTTAAAATATGCACACGTAAAGCTCCAACACAGGACAGCAGCTTGACAGATGTTGACGAGACAACAACACCAGTAACATCTGGAAACAATGCGTTTCCTCTGCTGTGCAGAAAAACAAAACATGGCATGTTTATTACATCATCGCCTGAGAACAAATCTTCTGTCGGTCATTATTCACCTGTCTCAAGGCAGGTGTTCCTTCATTCTGTCTAATGGCCAGCAGGGGGGCGACTCGTCCGGCTGCAAAATGTAGTTGGTCATTTAGAAAAGCCCAACAGAGACCCAAGAGCTGAAAACATCCAAAAGGTGCAACCCAGATCAATCAGTTCCTCTGACATCTGCTGGATGTCAGTTCGGCAAAGACAGTGCCCACAGGTCTCTGCAGATTTCATGCAGGAGATTATCAGAAAACCCGACAAGGTTACTGTTAATGTACCAACAATGAATTTTGCAATGTCTCAACTTGACTCCACCCAGTGTCTGCTCAGCTGGTATGCTACTACATGTGTCCAAAACCAGCTACAGCTGTGGTTTGACAGAAATAGAGAAAATCTTTATTTTGTCATTTTTTTTACTTTTACTGAAGAAAATTGTGTTGTTTCATCTCCATGTGATGTATCTAGGTGAACATTACAGCCATGTGCTGAGCCAATTATGCTAAGTTTAGCTAGTAAAATAGTTTGCTAGTGTAGCTCTTGAAATGAGTCTCATTTCAATTTGATGGTATAAATGTAATATGATTTACATTATTGATATTTTACTATATATACTTCATTTTTTGGAAAAAAAAAAAAATCCTCAGAGGTGAAATTTAACTCAGTTGTCTCAAATGCTATACAAATATATACCTTGAATTTTATTTCAGTTAAAATTCAAGGTATATATTTCTATTTCATATCATTTATAACTTGTGACTGACCACTGGCTGAAATCTTTAGTTATATTAAAGGGCAATATCCCAAAAAATCCCAAAAATTAACTACAAAGATTTGATCCTTGTACGTTTCACATAAAATGGAAATCAGACTGATGCAGTAAATATTCTTTTATTGATGAGAAAACTGGGCAGTATAATTTATTTAAGATGTTGAAGATATCAGAGCATTAAACAGGCTGATATTTGGGTAAAAGAGTCTGAAAGGATAGAGATGATACAGAAACATAACATCATTATAAAATATTGTATTTTACATACACACTTTATGAATGTACAGCTTTTCACAGCTCTTTGAACCTCTTACTTGCATACTTTTCCCACTGAAATCAGCACAATCCCACTGTGATGAAAAATAATATTTTGACTAAATATATTCTGGATAAATCAGATCATTATCAAAGTTGTCTATGGTTACTTTTATTTTCCCTTCTTTCCCTGTCAGATCCTGTCCTGCAGGATAAACATCAGTCAATGGTTCCCTGTACGCAGCTGTTATAGTTTGTGTTCGAGATACTTCTGCAAATACACGAAGCAAATATCTGAAAACTGTTTTAAATATTTTCACCCATCCCTCATGTACAAAGAACAGCTGTCTGTTCTCCCCCTGTTCTCCTCTTCATCTCTCAGCTGCTGCTGGCTCCTTTTTCTCCTCCTCTTCCTCACACACTGCTGAACCTGTGCTGGTGTTTCATCAGGGATGAAGAGCGTCTGTCCCTTCTCAGTCTCTCCTTACTCTGGACGCTTGCAGAAGAAAATCAGCCATGGCAGGTAACAACAAAAGCAGGAGAAGTTTATCAAATATCTGTTAACTTGCAAGATGAAAACAAAATTTTCTAATAGAATCACATGGACATATTTTATGTATTTAGATCACACAATCATTTAAAATCTTTCATGTACCGATGCATGAAGGAGCGTTTCCGCAGGTCCTTCCTCCCTGCAGCTGTCAGACTGTACAATCAAAACTGCTCCCAACAATCATAGATGTTTACCTCTGCGCTGTAACTGCAATAATTTAATCAACCGATTATCTGTAGTTAATTTTATTTAATTTAATAACTGTACAGTACTCTGTTTATAGTAACCATTGTCCTTGATGCAAATATGTAAGAAAAAAAAAATTGTATGTTTCTGTTCTGTGTCCTGTTTGTTTGTATATGTGTCTTTCTGGCTGATGTTACAACCAAATTTCCCCGTGTGGGACAATTAAAGGATTATTCTAAAGAGGGGATAAAAGAGAAAGGAGAAACAGGACATACGATCCTGCAGAAATGTTGGGCTTTATAACAAAAGTGACATGCTCAAATTGTATGATATAAGCATGACAAACAGCACAGACACAGGAGGTGGACTTCTCCATTTACTGCTTGTCTTATTTATTAGTGGTTTATACAGGATGAGAGCTCATTTAACCATAAACTTCAGCACAGCATGGTTGAGTCTGCTTCCTTACCACAGCTCACGGGCCAGACTTTTGGTGAACCGTCTGCTTGGTTCGTCCTAAAACAACCGAATGTTAGCTACATTGAATTTTTTAAGACTTTTCATTATGCTAAATTTGTTCCGCTGGACATTTTTAATGAGATTAAAAAAAAAAAACAGCACTTACTTTTAAAAGTTTATTTCTGGATCGCTTCACTTCGACCATCCGCCGTTTTTCTCAAAAGATTTTCTTCAACCCTTATTCGCAATGAATCCTGGGATATGGTGGGCCACGAACGATACACCCGGCCCATGCTTCAAATCTGGGGAAAAGGAGGACGCATTTCTGGGCCACATTTGGAGCAACCTTCAAATTTGGACAGCCTTTGTCACCTGCTGTGATGTAATCGGCCTACAAATGTGACCTCCGAAGGATGTGGCCACTGAATTTCGACACAGCCTAAGACAGGGGTGGGGAACTCCAGGCCTCGAGAGCCGGTGTCCTGCAGGTTTTAGATATCACCCTGGGTCATCACACCTGAATCAAATGATTAGTTCATTACCAGGCCTCTGGAGAACTTCAAGACATGTTGAGGAGGTCATTTAGCCATTTAAATCAGCTGTGTTGGATCAAGGACACATCTAAAACCTGCAGGACACCGGCTCTTGAGGCCCGGAGTTAGCCACCCCTGGCCTAAGACTTCAGGTCACAGAGTCCAGAATCCAGTGACATTGTGGTGGCTGCATCCATGCTTCCCACACAGTCTGTCATGGATGTGAAAAAATGGCCACCTCTCTCTGAGCCTGG